AATTTGCATTTATATGCGAGTTTTATCGGCCACCGGTCCGCCGATATAAACGCGACCCGACCAATTATCATTTCAATTTTTACCTCTTTCGATCCGCGCCGAGCCGGCCTGGAACGCGTCTCTGAAAATGTATTTCCTCGGGATCGGAAAATTCCGGGAAACCGTTTCCCCGTGTTCGACGCGCGACATTCGCGAGCGTCTACATTCGCGCGAGAACAGCTTGCAGCTTTTTACGCGGACAAAAGATCGCGGACAAGTCGCTCGCGGATCCGGCGAAGCGCGCGCGTCGCATCGACTCGAAAATTCCGGCGAGAATCGTTTCTCCGGCGAAGAAAGAATTTTCGAAAAAATGTTCCTCGCTCGATCCGCGAACAGGTCTCCCGGTTTCGCCGGTCGCGACGAGCTGCTTTCGTAAACCAATTAGCCCCGTGAATCCGAATTCGCTGGCCCCGCGGCGGGGCGGAAAGACGCGCGAATGTAATCTCGGCCTGCAAACAAGAAAACAATCGCGCGCGGACCGTCTAGTTCTCGTCCGCGGCTCGTAAATATTTACGAAATGCCGTAATAACGGGCTCGCCGCGCGAATTTTTCGCGGTTTCTCTCTCTCTCTCTCTCTCTTTGCTCTCCGCGGTTTCCGTCCGGAGGACACGCGGCCATTTCTGCGACAATCTCGTTGAACTTCTCGCAGAATCGAGCTGGATCGGCGGAAGTCTATTTTTTATTTTACCGCACGATATATATAGCTGAAACATTTCAGAAAGGGGAAAAAATAATTATAAAAATATACAGCGGAGGGCAATATTTTATCCGGACGCGAACGAGTCGAAATGAAATTTTGTTCTCTTGTGTTCGACTGAATGCAGGCGTACGATAAATATCGTATTATAAATATATAAATAAATGTAATTGTTAATATATTAATAACATAATAAACAAGGTGTCCCAAAAATGTCTCGCAATCCGAAAGTGGCGCGTTCCTCGGGTCATTTGAAGCAACTTCTTCCTTCACAAAAATGTTCTCCGAGGCACCGTTGACGAGTTATTAACGAAAAACAGTGACCAATGAGAGGCCGGCTCGCGCTACGCGGCCGAGCCAATCGGCGGAACTGGGCTTCGACCGCTCCGCCCAGTGCCAACCGAGCTCGCCTCTCATTGGTCATTGTTTTTCGCTGATAACTCGTTAACGGTGCCTCGGAGAACATTTTTGTAAAGGAAGAAGTTGCTTCAAATGATCCGAGGAACCCGGCATTTGTATATTCATAATATAATATGCTAATATAATATTGCCATCCTGTATATTGATAATATAATATTTATATATAAATATTATAAATTGTCTCTTTCCTTCCAAAAAAATATTACAATCGTAATAATGGCGCGGCAAGCGGTTAAAAAACGTACCCAGCCAACTTCGATAAATACGACGTTTTCGAGGCTGGAACAAAAATCGTCGGATTTTCTGTTTATTTACCCGCGATTCCGCAACGGTTCAGCTTTCATTAAACCGATTCGTCGGTCGCGCTTCTGTCGATAGTCGCGCGGCCTTGTCGAACGGCCAAACGCGCCTTCCCGGAGCGCGACGCCCGCCGGCCACTCGACAGTCGTTGATCAAAAGAGGATGCCCGGGAATTTCTGCTGGAGGGTCGTTCTTTGAGCAGAGCGGGCTCCTCCGAGATCGTCCCGACGGTTGTCTTTGACAATAATCGCCTCGAGATCGCGGCGCACGAACGTTTCCGAACCCATGCTCCTGCGGAAGCCATGGCGCAGCCTTTGTCGGCCGCCTCCGATCGCTTCTCGATGGCTGCTCCTCGACTACCGCCATTTCGGAACATTTTTGCTCGTGATCTCACTTTCCACCGAGCTTACCAAAACAACCTCGAGCGGCTCGTCGTTGAACGAAGCGTCCTTTGCGAGCAAACCGCTCGTGAATTCGGGAATTATGCGTTTACGAAGATCGTGTTCCGTCGACTTTCTTCGACCTTTGTTAGATTTCGGAGGCTATTATTATTTTATTGGCAGCTATTTGTCGCTATTTCTTGGAATCATTTGTTAGAAATAAGGACAATTGTTCCGTAAGAAATTATTTCAAAGCGTGTGTGCCAAGAGTACAAAGCGCTCAATTAATCTTTGACTATTCCTGCGAAACTGCCGGCCATGAATATAGCGAAATCTGTAAATTGTTTATTGGAAATTGTGAAGTTCGAAGTACGAGCAATTGTTTTACGAAATATTGTTCGAAGCGGGTACCAAAATTTCGTCGAAATGCACAGGCGAATTCGGGAATTATGCGTTTACGAAGATCGTGTTCCGTCGACTTTCTTCGACCTTTGTTAGATTTCGGAGGCTATTATTATTTTATTGGAAGCTATTTGTCGCTGTTTGTCGCTAGTTCTTGGAGTAATTTGTTAGAAATAAGGACAATTGTTCCGTAAGAAATGATTTCAAAGCGTGCGTGCCAAGAGTAAAAGCGCGCAGAGAGCGCAATTCATGCGAAATCGCCGGCCGTGAATGCACCGAAATCTGTAAACTGTTTATAGGAAATTGTGATGTTCGAAGTACGAGCAATTGTTCCACGAAATATTGTTCGAATCGGATACCAAAATTTCGTCGAAACGCATCAGCAGCCTCGAAACGTTTCTTGGAAATTGGGAAGCGATCCTTGAAGAAGCAATCCTCGCGTAGAAAGCTTTTCGAAGCGGGCACAAAAATTTGGCGAAAGTGCTCGGACAGCCCCGGGGCTATTTACAGATAATTAGGACGTTGGAATTAAGAACGATGGTAATTTAAAAAATTCTTTCGATCGTTGCGGGTCTCGAAATTCTAGGAAAACAGAGCGTCGAACGATGTCTAGAAATCAGGACGTTAAGACTGACGACGACAACGAACGTTAGAAATATCGATCGAATCGCCGAGAATTTTGACGTTTGGTAGACTCATCTCTGCTAAACGAATCCGGTAATCGACGGCGACAAATTGATTTGTTGCGACCGCGAACTGCGGCGAGAACGCGCGAGAACGCGGCTTCTTCTCGAGCGTCGCGATTCAAAATGGGGCTGTAAAACGGGTTACGCCGAGGGCGAGTCTCATCAGTCAAGGTTACGGCCCGGTGTAAAACTGAAAAGGGAACGGCCGCCGCGATAAACAAGAGAATTCCCGGGGAAATCAGATAATAATAAAAAAGAAGTGGAGGCGGCGGCGTCGGCGGCGGTGGCGGCACTGATTTCAAAGAAAATTCGAACGGCCGCTCGCCGGCGAACGATGGCGAACGCTCAGCCGGGATTGCAGGGACGTAAAAATGCGGCGTGGGTGGGATGATTGCGCCATAAAAAAGGGAATCCGAGAAAGAATAGCCAGCGAGTCGGTATGAAAAGCAGCTTCGACGAGATTCGCCCGGTCCGAGGACGTCCGCGACGGTCCGACGTCGCATCTGTTCTCTTGCAAACGATCTCTCTCTCTCTCTCTCTCTCTCTCTCTCTCTCTCTCTGGTGTCCTTGTTTACGGTGTTTCGACATGGCAGAGGAGAAGCGACGTCGTCCCAGACGTCCTCGACTCGTAGATCTTTCTACGCGATCGATCCCGTCGGCCGCCCTTCGCCTAATTTTCTGCTGTTTGCGCGGCTCCGTCGACTATCCGCGGGATTTTCATCTGGATTTATTCCACCGACTGTTTTCCCAAAGAGCGGCCCCTCGAGTCCTTGTTTATGGCGTCTCGCATGGCCGAGGACGAACGACTTCTCCCCCGAGGCATCCTCTCTCGTCCACGGATCTTTCTACGCGATCGATCGATCGATCGATCGTTCTTCAAAGGTCACCGTTCTCCGCGGCCGATCTTCTGCCTCTCGAACCGCGCGGTTTTCCGCTCGCGGAACTCTCGTCGTCGCGATTTCTCTTCTATAAATCGAGTCGAACGTTCGTTAACCGTCTGCCGAATGCGTCTGCGTCGCGCAGTGACCCGAAACCAGGCAACTCTTCGCCAAACACGCGAATTTCTCGAGTTCAATTTCTTGGAAAGAAATTTCTCTTTCCGCGCGATCCGATGACCTTTCGAAACTTCGAACAATCGAGACATCGCGGTGCAAAGGTGAGCCGAAGCTTCTCATTTACCGTTTCTCGGCTCTTTTTCGATCGTATATAACCGCGTTCCGGAGCACCGTGCCACGCTGCATACGACGGTCGACGCAACGATCGATGCAGTTTGCGCTGAATTTACGATAGCGCCTATTGACGCGCTCGAATTTCATCGGCGGAGCGTGAAGCGATGCTCGTATTCAAATGTCTTTTGAATCGAGCCGCTTTTTCAACTGTACGAGAGCGCCGCGATGCGCGCTCTTTTTTCCGCGGGGGAACACCGCGCATTCAGAAATATTGTGGATAATTTCATGAAAAGAAACACACAGTCGGACTGTGCGCGGCGCGCGGATTCGTTTGGAAAACCGCGGGGATCCGAGTTTAGGGGCATTCTCGACACTCTCCGGCCCGAGGCCGAAGCAGAAGCTCGACTCTCCTTGACCCGTTCCGCGATTGTGCGAACCTCCTCGAGGCCACGCGTAATAAATACGTCCGGCGAACGCGCGGCTACCGCGCGGCGATTTCACGCGTCCGCGGTCCGCAGAGATTTCGGCATTGCCGCGGCTAGTCCCCGTAGGCTCGTAGACACGCTGTTAATATTGCAAGACCCCGCAAAGACGGAATAATTCGCGATTCTTGCTCCTGGAATATAATTCGAATTGGGAAGCTGCCAGCTCCCGGTGTCGCTATCTCTCCCGGGACGCCCAAACGTTAATCACTGGACTGCGGATTTCGTGAATTTTGCGAGAAAAATGGCTATAGAACACGAAACACTGACACAGAAATTCCGCAATTCGATATATCGTGGTATTTGCGGCTGATTAAAGTTATTCGAAACGGATATAAAGCAGCTATGTATTCGCGTAATATCTTTTATTTCGCGCGAAGATCCGCGGTCTAATGATTCGCGAACTCGCCGGTCCTTGATTTCAGTTCCGTCGGCAAGTTCTGTCGTTGCCGGAGTTTCTCGGCGAGAAAAAGGGGAAGATTAATCAGTGCCGGTAGGAATGGCGATCGCGAGGGACGCGTCCACGATGGCTCACGGTAGATCGTGAGATTTTCGGACGCGGGAGAATTCGCAAAGTGTGCCGCGGATACGCCGTGAAAAGTTGCGTCGCGAGCGATGACGTTGTGCCATGTGTTGTTGTGACGTGTCCACCTGCGAACGTGCTGTTCCCGGAAACGTGGATCCCGGATCCGGAATCGTCGTCGGTGAGTCTAATTTTTCTACTAATTCCAGCGGCGATTCGTTCGACGATTCATTGGACGGCCGATGTGTCCAGGACGATCCGTTCTTGTAGATCAACTGCACAGATTCGAGGAAGTAGGCTCGGATTTACTGATTCGAACGAGGTGTCTCGAATTCGATGATTCGAGTACGAAGCATCGAATTCAAATGTTCAAGGATAAATTATCGAATTCGAACATTCGAATGAAGGGTTTTGGATCCGAATATTCGCGATCGAAGTATTCCCAATTCAAAGATTCAAAGATTCGAAGATTCGAACAAACCCACTCGAATTGAATAATTCGAACGAAGCGTCTCGAATTCAATGATTCGAGTACAAAGCATCGAATTCGAACATTCGAGCGAAGAGTCCTGAACTCAAACATTCGATCGAACTGGAAATTGAATCTATTAGAATGTAATAAACTTCGAACGGAAAGTACACGATTATAATTAGATTCAACGTTATTAATTGAATAAGGACAGCTCGGTGAACGGAGTAAAATTCGGTATAGCGGAGCGGATAAATTTGAATGAAATAATTGCTGGAACGATATTATATAGGGATTTCATTTTATTCATTCACCGTTTCTGTTTTTGCGAAACCGTGGTTGCAGATAAATTAGAGAGCCGCGTTAATCCGCGGCGCTACGTTGCAACAGTTACGAACGGCGGTCGTTTAAAATTAATTTGCTAGAGCTTACACGACATAAATAATTATCAGTTTCGGCAAACACGCGTGAAAATTCGTCGACGACGGGATACATCGAACACGGTTCGCGCCATTAATCTCGGTTCGGTTGTTCCATCGATCGTTACGCCGTTCGAACAATTATAAATGAACGGTGTATTAAAGTTGATCTTTCGTATACCGATCTTCCGAAATTGCGCCGGAGGCTTTCAATTTAAAAGTCCGCCGTGTATGCAAGATAAATATGACTGTTTCCATTCCATTTCGCTTACGCGGGAGTTAAAGGCGCTGCCAAATCGAGTTAGAGCCAAGTTAAATCAACTTCGGCCCCGTCGAATTAACCCACGGGGATCGTTTACATTTTCATCTTTTCTTCTTCGCCCGTTAACCTCGACGACGAACACAGCCTTCCCACCGATCGGAACCGCCGATTCCTTTGGCAAACCGAGTCCGCGCCGATCTACCGCGCTCTATTTCGCCGGATCGCTCGCATTCTCTCGTTTCCATGCTCCTGGCAACCGTCTCCGATCCTCTCTAAGACTATTTGCACGCGGCGCGAGCGCGAATCCGGATGGAAAATTAATTTATGTTCAAAGAGAAGACCGTTAAGGCGACGCCGGGGACCTCCCTTTCGATTTCTTTGGCGCCCGAAACCGACCATTCTAATTTCTTCCACGGAACACCCGGTCCCAGACGTCACTGGTTACTTTGAGAAACGAAATTTCACGATTTAGTAATGATTCGCGCGCTGCTGCTCACTAATTATACCCCGCTGGAACCGCTGCAGACGAATCCGGATCTGGTAATTAGAATAATTTCGCCTGTGCGCCACGTTTCCGTTTCAATCGCCCTACCGGTATCATAGAATTTACACCTCGGATGGCTAAACTTTACTCTCTGCGATGCCATTCTTTGACGTTCAATCTCTGTGTTTTGAATTCCTCGAATTCGAATCTTTGTGTTCGAATGTTCGAATTCCGGACGCTTCCTTCGAATCATTCAATTCGACACGCTCTCTTCGAATCATTCAATTCGAGTCGATTTGTTCGAATATTCGAATTCGGGACGCTTCGTTCGAATATTTGAATTAAGACTCTTCATTCGAATGTTCGAATTCGATACTTTATCCCTGAATCTTTGAATTCGATACTTCATACTTGAATATTCGAATTCGACATTTCGTACTCGAATCTTTAAATTCGAGACGCTTCCTACGAATCCTTCAATTCGAGTCGATTTGTTCGAATATTCGAATACGCTTCGAATATATAATATTCGAATATTCGAATTCGAATACGCTTCGTTTGAATGTTCGAATATGGGGACACTTCGTTCGAATATTTGAATTGAATATTCGAACATTCGAATTCGATACTTTATCTCTGAATCTTTGAATTCGATACTTTATACTTGAATATTCGAATTCGATACTTCCTACTCGAATCTTTGAATTCGAGACGCTTCCTTCGAATCATTCAATTCGAGTCAATTCATTCCAATATTCGAACTCGAGACGTTTCGTTCGAGTTTCCGTTTCCCCGAATCTGTGCAGCTAATCCGCATTAATTCTAAATACGTACTTCGCGTAACCGACGATGAAGAAGAAGAGCACGTCCGAACGATCGATCCCCGGCACTTTGCGTATCGCAGAGTTAATCGTTTTAACCATCTAGTCGGGGGAATAATACGGCCAATTACGACGTTAATATTTGAACGTAGCGAAAGCGAGCGAAGCGTAATCGGATTCGGCGTCGCGATAGAATTTTTATCACTTCGAGATGGAAGTTGGTAACGACGCTAAATAACTGAGGCCGAGCCGAGGATGGGGGCGAAGCGACGGTCGACCGTCGAGGAGGATATCCGGCTGTGGAAGCCGGTTCTCCCGCGATTCAAAGGGAAACACACGCTCCACTACAATTTTGCGAATTTATTTTCAGCGGCGTCGGCGTCGCCCGCGCGCTGGCTGCCACTCGGCGCAACGAGAGGGTGCAACGGGAGGGTGCTGCAACGCGGCGCGGCGCGGCGCAGCGTTTCGCGGCTGCATTCTGCGAGTTATCTCGATCTCCATTCCCGTCGCATCCGAAACGTTCCGATATTAAAAATACCCGAGCCGCGGGGGGAATAGGGAATGAAGCTAAGTAGGTGGCTCACGCGCGCGCACGCGATGTTTCCGACGCGGTTTAAAGCTTAAAGCTGCGGGCTCGCGAGCGTCGCACAGAGGCGCTCGAAAGCTGGAGCGCCGGTTACCGGGAACACGGATCAGCTTTAAAGCGAATACGACCGCGGGAAACGTGCGGGGAGGGGGGCAGAGCTGACTGTTGCAGTATGCGCTCGGATGTTCGGTATTAATTTCCGCAATGAAATTCTTGCCGCTGCCGCGGAATTCGCGAGCCGCGAAACTTTCGCGACGGGAAATACACCGTTTCGGGTCGCTGTGTCGCCTTCCCGAGACTCGAATCCTGAATTTCAACTATTTTTTCTGGCTCCTTCCGTTTTTTTTCGGACCGCCCGCGCCGAGAAATTGAACCGCCTGTTCCATTGAACTCGCCGAAGGGAAAACGGGATTCGTTTCCCGCGGATTCAATTCTTGGAATTTTGAGCCGAGCATTCGATCGCGAGAACGTTGTCGTTTGCGAATCGTCTTCGAACGAACGAATTTGCTCGATTCGAATTGAAAGATTGCACGTTCGCGCGAGCAAACTCGGTAGGACTAATTCGAAGATTCGAATCTCGACGGTTTCAATTTACAATGTTGGATCGATAGCAATTACAAGAAGAGAATGCAAATTCAACGAAGTTCCATTCAAGTAATCGAACGCAGTGTGGTTCTAATTCAAATGTTTGGATGCCGAGCTTCTAACTCAAACATTTCGACGCAGAGGTTCTAATTCAAACAATTTGACGCAGATGTTCTAATTCGAACAACCGGCTGCAGAGACTCTAAATTCATTTGTCCGAACACGGAGCTGCCATTTTCAATCGTCGAGCGTGGAGATTCGAATTTAGATATTCGAATGTAAAGTTCGTAAGATTTAAATGCAAAGATTCCAATTGAAATGTTCGAGTGGCGCGGTTCTAATTCAGTCGTTTGAATGCAGAGGTCCTAATTCCAGCCGTTGAACGCACACGTCCTAATTGAAGTATTCGAATGCAGAGCATTTCGTTACAATATTCAAATGGAGAGGTTCTAATTCGCGCGTTTGAGTGCAGGGGTCCTAACTCGAGTCCTTGGGAGCTGAGCTCCTAATTGAAATATTCGAAGTCAAATATTTAAACGAAGAGGTTTTAGTTCGAATGATTCGAATGCGCAGCTTTCCATTCGAAAATTCGAATACAGGAATTTCGATTCACGTATTTGAGCACAGAGGTCCTAATTCGAATCTTTGGAAGCTGAGGTCCTAATTCAAGTCTTTGGAAGCTGAGGTCCTAATTCGAATCTCTGGAAGCTGAGATCCTAATTCGAATCTTTGGAAGCTGAGGTCCTAATTCAAGTCTTTGGAAGCTGAGGTCCTAATTCGAATCTCTGGAAGCTGAGATCCTAATTCGAATCTTTGGAAGCTGAGGTCCTAATTCGAATCTCTGGAAGCTGAGGTCCTAATTCGAATCTTTGGTAGCTGAGGTCCTAATTCGAATCTTTGGAAGCTGAGGTCCTAATTCGAATCTTTGGAAGCTGAAGTCCTAATTCGAATCTTCGAAAGCTGAGGTCCTAATTAAGATATTTCATTGTAAACGTTCTAGTGTAAAAAAGCACTAATTCCATTCTTCGAACACGAATATCCTAATTCAAATACTCCAACGCAGTTTAGTTTCGAGTTTCAGTTCAAGTTAATCAGATTAATTCGACGAATAATTCGATAATTCGCGTTCGAACGCTGAATTTCCAATTGCACCATTCGAGTGCAGAAGTTCCGAGTCTCGCAGATCCAAATGCAAGGATTCGCGTCCACGGACAACACATCGCTGTTCGCATCAGCTAGAAACATTCGCTCGAAACGATCGCAGTTCCAGCGTTTTAAGGGGCCCTATAGCCGCGCCCGATTTTCTGGCAGCTAAATAATTCCGAATTCCCTGTTGACCCAGTGGAGATCATGTTCGAAGGCCATTCGAGGTGCTCGTTACTCCCGGAACAAGCTCGTAAAGGGCAGCAATCGCGAGAGAAAGAGAGAGAGGGAGAGAGAGACGATTCTTTTGTCAGTCGTTTCGCGACTCAGGAGCGTCGCCGTCCTGAGGGCGGCCACGTCGATTGGTTCGAGGGTCACTCGTAAAAGTTTTACGGTGTCGCGGGCGGCTCGGGGGTTTCTCTCCCGGGGGTGAAATCGAGACGCGCCCGGGAACTGATAAGCGGACGCGCGCCACGCTATGCTTGTTTTCCCTTTTCTGGAAAATTTACGGCGATCGAGTCGAGTCATTTTCGAGTCTCCCTCGGCGGGCCGTAAGCCCGCTCGTAAATTGGCCCGCCCCTGGGACCTGCCCCTCGAATTTCTGCTTACGAACGCCGCCTCCGACCCGCCACCTGTACACCACCCCTCCGCCTTCCCGCCCTCCCCTCCCCGCCTTATCGAGTATCCTTTCTTTCCCGGCGACACCCGAAAGGAATTTCATTACCGGCAGCCGGTTCGGTTAGCTTTTTTCCAGCGGAAATTTCGCCTTGTTTATCGAGTCCCCGGAGCGTTACTTTCGCGGAACAATTGCCGGCGGTTTTCTTTTTCTCCCCGGGCCGCCGGGCTCCTCTGGCCGGCTTCGAATGAATTTATTGGGCCGGGAAAGTGTGCCGGCGGTGTCGTAGACAACTTGGAAAAATCGATAACGCCCCCCCGCCCGTACTTTCGGGGGAGAAAAACGTGCACGAGTTTAAACGCCTGTTCTCGAGATCGCCGCGAGAATGTGGTCCGCCGATTTATGACGGTGCTTGCCGAGCGGGGAACGCGATGTACAGGGTGTCCCGAAAATGTCTCGCAACATGGAAACGAGGGATTCCTGGGGTGATTTGAAGCAACTTTTTCCTTAGCACAAATGTTCTACGAGGCTTCGTTTAGGAGATATTAACGTAAAACCGGGAGCAATCGGAGAGCGAGTGCGGCTGATGCCACGCCCTCGCTACCACCGCCGCTGCGTCATACAGCCGGCGCGACGCCGGATTGGCCGCAAGAGCGGAGCGCTGGCCGCACTCGCTCTCCGATTGGTCATTGTTCTTTCGTTAATAACTCGTAAACGAAGCGTCGTAGAACATTTTTGCTAAGGAGAAAGTTGCTTCAAATCACCTCAGCTACCCCTCCCCGTTTCATTCGTTGCCCTCCCTCGCCCCTAGAACGAAGATCTTTTTCCAAGGGTTGTATTCCACGAGATTTAGGGTTGCATAACCTTAGTGTCGTGGGGTATTGCATTTAGTACAATAGAAATATGATAATAATAATAGAAATAGAGATAGAAATCTTGAATGAAGCACGTGTGCGACACGGTTGAAAGAAACAACACTTGCAAATATTTGTATCTGTTGGTGGAAACATTTCTGCCGCGGTCTGTACCACAGCGACCGACTCGGCTATCGCTACGTTTCGTTTGTTTGCTCGGTGCTTCGATCTAGCGAAGATCGATCGTTGATCCCGTATTACCGTGTCTGCAGCAATTTCATTTGTTTGGAGACGCGTAATCGCGTGTCCCTAAGCGTGGTCGGAAATGGGCTCGATTTTCCGGCGCGCAAACGCATAGAAATTCGAATAGGCGCGTCAGCGTCACGCCCGGCCGTATATCGCATGTTTAATTTAGTTTTAATCTACTCGGCTCGGCATGTATTATCGACTACTCTAGATTCGATTCGAACGTTTAATCGTGCACGGATATTTAATCGCAATGATCGTCGGAGCACCGTCGTCTCGTCGCAAATCGCGCGGAATTTTCGACCACGTGTTTCACAATGTAAGCGCGTCGCGCTGCGAACATCGGCGTTTTTATCATTACTGCGATTTGAAGATTTCCGATCGCAATCATTTCTCAGAAGCGAAAGAAAATCAATGATTATCGCGTGCCTGAATTGACTCGAATGCTTAACATGTTTATAGGCGAATATTAACTCGAAAAATTCGCACAATATCAAGGTCATTTAATTAAATTTATTTTATTAAATAATACGAAAATATACCATGGCAAATATATATTCAGCTATTTTGTATATTCTATAAATTCAAGTAACATTCATATATATTATGATATATATAATATATGAATATAATATTATATATATTCATATATTTATATATTATGATAAAAATGAATTTCAAGAACCTAGTGAAAAATTAGCTAATAATTAGTTAATAATTAGTCACTCTTATGCGACTCGCGCGGCGCTGAAAAGTGTTAAATATCGATGACAAAGGATTAGATCGAATCTTAAAGGGCAAAATAGCATCTATAAATTATTACTAGATTAGTTGTTTAATTATAACTCGATAAGTTATTGCTAGAGATTTTCATAGTGAGTCGTACTCGCCGAAGTACGGCAAGCGGTTGAGCGGTCACGGATCGTTTTATGGTCGATTGTTTTCTGTTTACAGAGAGTGTTTCATGTTCCTGAAGCCTCTGATCGATCGTTTGCGCGCGGTACCGCGATCGAGACAGGAGTATCGGTGATCGGTGAAGTTTCGATATTGTTCCTCGAGCGTGGGTGCGACCGTGATCGATCGAGCATCGATCGGAGGAAAGTGTCTTCGAGCGGAGAACGGTGCTAGTCCTCCTCGGCATGAAGGGTGAGTGTACGAAACTATTTTCCCTTGATTCGGGGGACTCTTCTCCGAGCAGAATAAAACGGCACCGAAAGGGTGTCTTTGCTGTAGAATTCTTCGATGTGCTCGCGCATCGAGGAAACGGCGATCTCCGAAATTCGGAGCGATTCGAGACGCTGAAAAAAGTTCCTTCAGTGTTCTCGGTGTTCTTCGGTGTTCAATTTATTAAACGTCCTAAAAGTTTCGACTCTTCGCCGAAACTTCGCTGGTTATCGCGAGAGCATCTTAGAACAAAAGACGAGACAAAATGAGCGTAGGTTGATTACCGTAGGATTTTCTTTTCTTTTAGAAAGTTTTACCTGTTTTCTATTTAACGAAATAGTGAATCAGCTTCTTGCTGAAATACTAAATATTAAATATAAATAATATATAAAATACTGAAAATGCTTCTTTCGAACGTAATTATTTCGAGAAACGAAATCACTTTTGAACATCTCGATGCAACAGATGCTGTTCAAATCCATTAATCGCTGGATTTGAAAAATGAAACTTAGAGATGTTAAAAGTAGATTCTTTGCCCTTTAAAATGAGTATAAATAGACAGCAGTACGATCTTTTTTCACGAAGTTACAACAGTTCGAACACCAACGATATTCCTCTCAAGATTCAGCTGACCAACGCGAATGTAAATAAATCCTGCTCTGTCTCTATGCTCGATTTAGAAGAAAAGCACGAGTCTGTCGAAGAGTAGAAGCTTCGCCCTTTAAAATGAGTACAAATAGATAGCAGTACGATCTTTTGTCACGAAGTTACATCAGTTCGAACACCAATGATATTCCTCTCAAGATTCAGCTGACCAACGCGAATGTAAATAAATTCTGCTCTATCTCTCTATGCTCGATTTAAAAGAAAAGCACGAGTCTATCGAGAAGTCGAAGCTTCGCCCTTTAAAATGAGTACAAATAGATAGCAGTATGATCCTTTTTCACGAAGTTACAACAGTTCGAACACCAACGATATTTATCTCAAGATTCATCTGACCAACGCGAATGTAAATAAATCCTGCTCTATCTCTATGCTCGATTTAAAAGAAAAACATGTCTATCGCATAGTCGAAGCTTCGCCCTTTAAAATGAGTACAAATAGATCGCGGATCGATACTTTTTAACGAAACTACAGCAGCCCGAACATCCGCGTATCGCCGGAGACAGCGAGCCTTTTGTTTTCGGCGCTCGGCTCGCGCGACGAACGCGGGGCTTAATTAGAAGAAAAATCATTTCAGCCGCGGCGGGACGATCGCTTTTACTTTCGCCACGTTTTCGAGAGGGTCGATAGCTGGCCGCCTCGGCGCAGGATCGAAGGTCGCCGCAGAACGTTCCACGGAAACCGAGGGTCTCCGTCCGGCCCGGCGGACGATTTGAATTCCTGCCGACACGCGTGCGGCTCGCCGACTAATTAGGTTATGCAAAACAGCTGTTACGGCGGACCGGAAACCGTCCGCTATCATTCGCCGGAGATTCCGGAAATTTTCACCGGCGCCCGGCCGCGATTTCACCTGCGCAAATGTCCGCGCGTCGCGCCGCAGCGCCGCGGAACTTTCGTCCCTCGATTTGCATTTTCAATTTTCGGCGACCCGCGTCGACTTCCGTTTCGAACGCCCCACCCCCCTTCACCCGCTCGCCCCGTAATTCGGTCAATTTGTGCCCGACGTTAAAATTCAAATTTACCGAGGCATTAAGAGTTTCGTCGCGGCGAACTTCGGGCGGCCGTCGCGGCGCCGTTCGGTCGTCTGACCGCGTCAACACGGCGAAATCCCCGGGAAAATGCGGGGACCGCGGACCGTACTGAATGCATTTGAATACTTGCGCCGGCGAGATTGTTCGCGCCCTCGAGAATTCATCGAATTCTCGAGTTTCGCCGAGTTCGGGGGAATTTCGCGCGCGACGCGCCGCGAAAAAATCGCACCGTATAATCTCGTTCCGAAATGTTATTTTTTAGCGGCGATCTGCTCCATTTCTCAGATCGAGCAATTGCGTAGAGTGTTCCGTTGACCGTGATACCACTGGTAGGGCAGCGATTCGACGTGTAAAAATCGGCCGAAAAAAATAGCAGCGCTTTTTTATGCGAAGAGAGAACCGAAGGATGCGTCGAGTTCGCTCGAAGTAGAATTGGCATGCCATGGTCAGACACGCCTCTTGATTCTTATCCGGTGGTATTATTTTCGAGACACCCAGTGTATTGTAGAATTTATTCGATCGATGTTGAATCGTCGCGAAATCCCAACGTAAAAATAGTCGACGCTTCGAACCGTTGGAACTTCGAGAAAAAAAATCCTACGGCCATCTATTTATACTCATTTTGTCGGGCGAAGTGTCTACTTTTAACATAACCAGGTCTCTTCGTCCCTATAAATTTAGCGATTAAACGTAGCATTATTTATTCCCGCGATCGCGCCGTAACTTCGGTGCAAAGTTGCGAAAGTTCGAGCCGTTGTAACTTCGTGAACAAAAATTGTACAACTATCTACCTGGACTCGTTTGAAAGGTCAAAGCGTCTACTTTCAACATTGCTACATTTTTTCTCCCGGGTTAAACAACGACGCCCGGCAGAATTGATCCGAGCCGACGATCGACGCACGAGGATCGGTGCCGAACGTTTCCGCGGAGCGGATGAAAACTTGCGCGAGTTAAGTACGCGTGACCGGTGTCATCGTATCCGGCAGAGCTCTCGAAACCGCGATAAGTGAAGGAAATGGAATAAAGCGAGACATTGAAGAAGTCGCGAAAGCTCATCGAGCGTTCGTTTGCCGTCGGCGCGGTGGGAAAAAAAACATAGAAAAACTGAGGCTCGAGGTGAAATTTCCGCGGGAATAACCGGCGAGTGTCGATGATGGAGAGAGGGCCGGAAGCGCGAAGACGAAGTTCACGCTTCCTCGAGTGCTTAACATCGGATACTCTCGTCTCTCGAGTGGGCTTTCCAGTTATTAACAAAGAGTCCCGGTCGAAGTTACGCAATAATTACCGGCGCGGTTTGCGCCGCGAAACTTTTCAACCGGCGACGGCGCGCGCCTCTTCCTCAAGTTCTCGAACACTCTCTCTCTCTCCTCTCTCTCTTTCTCTCTCTGCTCTCCTCTCTCTGCTCTCCTCTCTCTTCTCTCGCTCTCTTTCCGTCTCCCCGCGTGCGAACTCTACTAGTTAAATCTCACGGGACTCCGGTTCCCGGCAAATTGCCGCGCTAAACTCGTTTGACAATTAAGCCCCGGCCAAAAAAATCGCTCTCCGACACGCACCGCCCGCTAGAAACATATTCATAAACATGCCTCTCATTATTCGTCAACAGCCGACGACATTTGTTTACCGTGGCGGACGAGGAATTAACGCTTTGAATATCGCGCCGTCGACATCAAGAGTTTAATCAAATTCGAACGGTTCATTTAACGCTAAATCTGTTTTGTGCCCGGCGAAACGAGAGGTTTTACTTGATAAAATTGACTATTTTATCGCGAATATTTACTTGTTCGCTTAGCGTTAACGTGTGCTGCATATATAATAAACGAAAGACGCGGGAGAAATTAAATACTTGTGAAAGTTAAATATTCAAATCGCTGTCTTCGTTGGATTGACCTCTCAAAATATTCTGAACATCTTGATGTTCGAGAATACGTTTCTGTTTTCGCTAAAATCACAATTTAACATGTTCCAATTTATCACAATTTAACACCGGTGGTACACGCTTACATCTTTATTTAATGCGTTAAAAAGATCTTTTGCGACGAGTTTAGAACCGAAGAATTAATTTCCACCAAAAAGAATGGGCCTATGGCTTATTATATAGGTTAGTAATGTCTCCCACAGAATGAAAAAGTAGCCGGTTGTACCACGATTTTCGAGACACCCAGTGTATCGTAGAATTTATTCGATCGATGTTAAATCATCGCGAAATCTCAACGTAAAAATTGTCGACGTTTCGAACCGTTGGAACTTCGAGAAAAAAAATCCAACGGCCATCTATTTATACTCATTTTGTCGGGCGAAGTGTCTACTTTTAACATAATCAGGTCTCTTCGTCCCTTTAAATTTAGCGATTAAACGTAACATTGTTTATTCACGCGATCGCGCCGAAACTTCGGTGCAAAGTTGCGAAAGTTCGAACCGTTGTAACTTCGTGAACAAAAATTGTACAACTATCTACCTGGACTCGTTCGAAAGGTCAAGGCGTCTACTTTCAACATTGCTACATTTTTTCTCCCGGGTTAAATTTTCTAATATTCTCTTCCGGTTAAAAAATCCAACGGCCATCTATTTATACTCATTTTGACGGGCCCATTTTCAGGCCCCTTTGACCCTTTAAATTTAGCGATTAAACGTAGCATTATTTATTCACACGATCGCGCCGAAACTTCGGTGCAAAGTTACGAAAGTTCGATGTCTCTCTAATTGACGCCCGGATTGCGCACAGAAATGGACAATTCGGGAAGAGGAGATACGATTATTCGAGTCTTGCGGTTTATTTTTATAGTCATAAATCGTCCACAGTTATAAAAACGAGCCGCAAGGCTCGGATAATCGTATCTCCTCTTCCCTAAATTGTCCATTTTAGTGGACAATCCGAGCGTCAGTAAGGGAGACATTACCGTGTATCGCGCACCATCCGGCTCCTCTGGACGGGCGAATTTTTCAAAGGAAGCACGCGATAGCACTGCGAAGCAGCCGGCCTTTCGTTCTCCATCGTTCGGATAAGGATCGATCGCAGCGATTCGCAGCGTTCTGCCCGCGCGCGGTAATCTCGGCTGAAAAGCACCGGCGGCCTCGTTTCGACGAGCAGCGAAGTTGGGTGCCGGGCCCCATCGAGCTTGCTCGATATGATTTTACGGGGTGAATGTCGGGGAGCGTATGACTTTATCGGCGCAGCCGGCGGCCACGGGGACTAGTTCCACGGCAGTTTGGACACCGAACTTTCGGGCTAATCGCGTTCAAACGCATCGTGCTACTCTTGGCGTCGCTCGTTAATCCGACCCCGATGAA